TGTGTGTGTGTGTGTGTGTGTACGTGTTGTGTGTGTACGTGTGTGTGTGTGTACACGTGTATTATGTGTGCACGTACACGTACACGTGTGCTATATTGTGTGTATGGGGGGGGGGGGGCTGTCTCTGTCTCTGTCTCTGTATCTGTGTATGTGAAATCAGGTATGCTCCGTCGTCGTCATAGGCACTGGTTCACTTGGTTTAAGAGCCGAATCTTGTCTGACCGATAAAAGCGATATTTATAGCACCCGAGTTACAATAAATATCAGCCGATGTTGTGAACATACTAACCATTCTAACCGTTCCTAGAAGTACCATTGTCCTGCGAATGCCGCTGTAAGGCACGCAATGGACCCCCTCCGAGACCATAGCGCCGACTGCGTGCACTGGATGCTCAGTTGGCCGGGCATTCTGAGACTGATGTTAGTGAGTGATAACACCACCACATGGCGGTTGTATACATCCGTAATTTTTCCATAGCCGTGTATGTCTATTCAGAAGGCTGTGCACACGGACACATACATAGGAGCGGAGATGTGTGCAGCACGCCTTCCTATCGTGTGTATTTATATATTTTTTAATTCCACAGGTTTTTAGACGAAGGCTATGCCGCTCTGACAGCTATGTAAATATTTATTACTAAATAAATAAATCAGTTGTCCACACTGTTCTTTTTATTTATTTATTTTGTTTTAAAAAAACAAAAAGTATGTGCAAATGTATGGTACATATTTAACATATGTAATGAATAAAGGTGTGGACAATGACCCGCCACAAACCCGTACGCCAATCAAAATACGCGTACTCGGTGCAGCTGAATTATGATATCTGTAAATTGTGGAGGTGTGAACTGTTAACTAACGTGTGTCGTGTGCTTGATCATTGATGATAGTTTGCTCAGATTCATTTGTATATGTTTGAAAAAATATATAAATACATATCGAGAACACTCCGGATACACATTTTCGTTTGCCTGACACATGATGTTGTAGCATGTGAAATCAAATATAAAATAAAGACAATGAATCATTTACTAAGCAACGGCGGAAAGGGTGTTCTGGATGTGCGTGAAGCTGAGGAATACGCAGAAGCTCATGTCAAGGGCTCTACAAGTTTTCCATGGGTATGTATGGGCTGCTTCTACAGATGTATGTTAAAACTAGATACAATGTTTTTTAAGACACATATATGCATGTTACAACGAACCACTGTGTTTTTAGGACACGCATATGTATGTTGGAACCAACTACAATCTATAAATTGCTCCACAGTGTGTATTTATAGACAGTCATAAAGCATGAACAATGCAACGACTTCAGAAAAGTGACATGATATTGCCAATTTGATGAGCTCATCTAACATATGATATACGTGACCTGTAGTTGCTGCATAGCAACGCGATTGTTCGCTAAGAAATAACGGGAGGTTGCTTTTGTGGCCGTGGGATACGTTAGTGATTGCATCTACAGACTGTGTACGCTATTGGCCGTGCTCGTTATTTATAAGTATATACGTACGTTTGTCTCCTTAGCTGAATCTTCGGGTGGCTGAATATCTATTGATGTACGTATAATGGTTGTGTTGCGCACTACACGGTGAGAAACCGCAACACGTATTGGAAACTCTGAACGTTGGTGTGCACGCAAAGTCTCTCTTACTTCTTTGCGTAAAACACAAGCGAAAATACAAAGGAGGGGAACCGTGCTACGATAATCGATCGCACCTTTGCAGTAGTAGGAAACGTAGTCTGATGTAAATAATTTTTAAAACAAGGAATGTACGTGTACCTGTTAGCAGAACAAATTCAGTAGGAGGGACTTTACATATATTCATGTAGATATTTGCCAAAGCGTGCAGTTGTAAAGATTTACTAAACTAGATATATACTGTATGGGCACAATTGTCTTATATATGCGCTTTCTTTCTTCACATTGTTATTGATTGTCAGTGTTCCACATGTCTCTGATGCATATGTAAATTGTATCTATTTATATATATATATATATATATATAGTGTGTGTGTGTGTGTGTGTGTGTGTGTGTGTGTGTGTGTGTGTG